CCTGACATGAACCCCATTGAAAACCTCTAAGCTATACACGACCGGCAAGTCAAGAAACAGCCAAAAAAACCAACTTCGAAGAGCGATCTACTCCAAGTTTTGAAGAAAGAATGGGCGAAAATCCCACAATCTAAAATTGACGAGATGATTCTCATGATGCCCCAAAGGATCAACAAACTCCACGAAGCGAAAGGAAGATCAACTAGATATTAATTAAATTATAAATATATCAATTAATGTGAATATGACTGAAAAATTTCACTTTTTCTGAAAAAGTGGTGTCTATTTACTTGTAGCTGTGTAGATTTTAACCTAAAAAAGTTAGTTTTGATGTATAGCCACCATGATATTTAAATGTATTCCAGTAATTCCAAATGGAAATGGTTTTCTGTAATTTGCTTATCACCAAAATTTAAGATCCTCATATCTATAGAGGAGGATAGGAACCCATGGATGAAGATGATACACTGAATATTAACATGATTCCACAATACAAATCTCCATATAGCCCTCTGTATTTGTTCAAATATTTGCATAATATACATTATTTATACCTTAAAAAAAACTGTGTAGCAAATGTTAATAAAGCACATACATACAAAGATATGATCCTGGATTTCCTTAAAGTTTTTTTCAATGTTCAATATGTATTATTTTTCACTCATTAGAAAATTTTTAAAGTGACAAGGAAATTGTTTTAACATAAAACCATGCCTTTTTTAAATACTAATTTGTGTTTACTAGACCACTGCTGGGCTGCATCCGTGGATTCCCACCCCCCTCTCACAATACACTAAGGATTGGTCTTAAGGGTATTTAACTTTGGTTTTAATTAATGACTTTAGATAGCATATCCTTACTAGCAGTTGGACAGCGTGTGATATTATTGCAGTCACAATTGTTGACGTTAGAAGGACCAAGTATTTTTGGCTTCTATTAAGATGCCCCCCCCCCCAATCTCTGGTAGCAAGCTGCATAATCATGTGTAAAGAGATTAATGAAAACTTGCACCTTTCTAAATTATATGGTTTCATGACATTGTTTAAGCATATTGCTGATTTTATGTTATAATGATGGGGTAGAGCTAGGAAATAAGTTGTATGGGAACTCCCAATTGTGGGTGATGGTGATTACTCAAATTTTGAGAAAACAATTATCCTAGAATTGCAACTAAAGGAGATTGACATGAAATAAAGAAATTAATTGAATGTTTCTGATGGAAATTACATGTAAAATGGGAATAGCCTGGTTATTAACCATTAATAAAAGAACTTTATATTGTCATTGATTACTCAATAATGTATCCAACAAATCTTTATAATCTTAGCCATATATATATAAAAAAGCAGAGACTTTCATGGAAGGAGCAAAAGGCATGGTGGATGAACTCGTATATGTTTATACTCTCTATCCCAGTCTTTATTGGGTGGATGCTACTCACTCCGTAAAGAAATCTATTGGTTACAAACTCTACACAAAGAACTTTGTTATGCAATGACTGCATCAGATGGAGGTTATTGACTCGTTCAGTCCAATTACAACCTCGTGTGAGAACTTTTTGCCCACTAAGTGACCATTAATGTCATGATTTAACCACTTATTTCTTAAAGTTTTCTTTAGCCTCATTATGTTACTCATTGCCAACCAGGGGCTGTTATTGATTTTGTTTAAATAGATTAGGATACAGTTACATTCTTTCCTAAAGATTGGATAATTTTTCAGTGTCCTCTAGACAAAGTCTAGTCATAAGACAAAGATCCTGGTAAACTGTGCACCAGAGTGGGATCCATATTTAACGTAGATTGTGTTTATGTACAAAAGTGATTGCTTAAGTAATATATACTATTTCCTAACTCTAAAACATCTGTAATGCAAACAATACAGGCGAACCATACTATGTACTTCCATTATATAATGATAGTTACTTGAAAGTAATATTTTGTTTAATGTGTGTTGTTATTAACTTTAATTTTCAGCCCTTTCTTGCATGTGGTCGTTTCAAGTGAATAATGGTGCAATGGAAAGAAACTGATTTTTGGAGCAAATGAGAGATGAGCTCTAAACACTAATCTTCTGCACTTCATAGTTTATAAACCTTCTATTAGGGGCCTTAATCAGATGGTGTTAGAGTACTTACAAATATCTGCTCTGGCCTTCTGCATGTTGTAGGGATTTACTTAAAAACATTTCTGTTAGGAGTCTTGCTTAAGTGACGTTAGAGGAGTTAGTTATATTTTATCATCATTGGACTACTATACATCATAAGGACTTTAAAATATTTCTACTACACACCCTACTTTGTAAGAATTACTGTATATTTTCCCCTTTGTTTTTAAAAGGTAAAAAGACTAATATTTACCTTGTTTCAGAATTTTCTTACTTGTAGTTACAGTAAAGGGTATCTATGCATATTTATCCCTAACTGTGGAATGACGGACTAGAAGGAAAGCAGCTAGTGAACAGCATGAACCTCCAACTCATGAGCTGCTTTCATCTTGTCAAATAGTTGGATTTGACTATCATTCCTACAGCCTCAAAGTACAGAATATATTTTTGTAAAAGAGGCCACAAATCACAAACTCTCTGATTCACAGTCCAAGCATGTTATCTTGGAGGCCACAATATAATATACTTCATCATACATAACATTACTACATGCAATGAATAAATTTCTTGTTGTTATCTTTTACCTATTACTTGGAGATTATTAGTGAAACATTTAATATACAGAGTAAATCAAATGGCTCGTCATTTTCATGACAGTTTTGTAGATGTAGAGTAACAGTAGCTTTGAAGAGAATTTATGTACCGTATACATAGCATGTGTGGAAACAAAGTTTGATAAATTAAGTCTTTCATTTTTCAGATGGTTTTTTTAATAGTTGATCATCTGCAATCCAAGCATCCAAAGCTGAAACGTGATGTTTTTTGGGATGACCTTGAACCCAAACTACCCCACAACAAGTACTCTATCAAGAAATTTAATAATCCATTAATTGGATCAACTGTCAACCTTGAGTATGTTTGTTCTTTTACAAACTACATTTATCATTGTATATCCGTGATTATGGTATGTTTATATTTCTTACTGTATGCAGATGTAACATGTAAATATAGCTATGAAATATTAAAAATTAAAAAATTTTTCTACACTTGAGCTTAAGAAAATATATTTAAAAAGACCAAAAAGTAATTCGTACTTTTCTTGAATATTTTCTTCACCAAAAAAAATTTAACCACAACAGAAACATTCTTAATTAAAAAAAAAAAAAATTAAATTTGGTAGTTTCAGCTGAATTTTCATTATATTGTAGCCATTTTAATTTGTTTGGATTCAAATGTATGATTGTAGATTACACGATTTAATCTATTTTATGTAGAGTCAATGAAGAGGAGTCGCAGTTTATTCCGCTTGAACCAATAATCATAGAAGACAGTCAATGTGGCAGTCGACATATGACACCAGTACACCACAACCTGCTCAATCCTCACTTCTTAGTCAGTAAGTTAACTGGAAGTTCTCGTAGGGATAGAAGCAAGAAATATTCTGTTGGGTCAACAAAGACGTCTGAGCTTCCAAAGAATAGCAAAACCTTAGTGACTCGTATGCAAAGACAACAAAATCTCGAAGACCAACTATTATCACCCATATTCATGCCGAATGAAATCAATGAGAGTGATGCTTCCAATTCTCATGTAGCACCTTTCTTGCTTAAGTTACCAAGCTTGAGTAAGCGAAAAAAAAAGTTGAACAGTGAATATCCAATGAGTCAAGATGGAAGTACCAATTATCCAACAGTTTCAAGCGAGCATGATGGATCCTCGGTAGTTTTTGTTCCAAATGTCTTGTGTCAGACGGAATCCACCTTAGTACCGACACCACCAGTGTTTGGCCCAGAGTCAGCTAACCAGATCTTTGTGTCTGACAGTACAGTACTCAATATAACAGACACAGTGCCTACTGAAAAACGTGTGTCTGCAACAACACCAATGCCTGTGATTCTAGAAGAACCATTTTATCCATTAGTTACTGTGGTTGACAATGAGAAATTGCCAGTTGAACACAGAATCAATGGACTGGATAATTCTCAAAATAGTAAACCAACAGATGATCTAGCATTGGCTTGTATGCATTATTTAGAAAAAAATAAATTAGATAAAGACTTGCACGAAACCACTAAAAATGCTGCTAACAGAAACTTTACAAGCAGTTCAGAAATTAAGTCTATGAATATGACTAATGTAATAGAGAGTTTAGAAATGAAATGTGAGCAAAATGGAACATTTATTGATGGATACGAGTCGTGTTGCTCTGATAGCTCAGAGACCTCTAAAGACAGAGATGTGCTAAATTCATCAAAAATCTAGAAATCCTTTTTTTCCCCCAAAAAAACTAGAACTTCACATCTGCACAAAAAAATGCAATCTTATCACTAAGTAATCATAATTTTTGTTTTCCTGTTTTTTTGTATTAGTTTGAAAGTCACAATGTTGTTTTTAAACATAATTTGAAAGAATTATTTTTATAAAATCTTCTTTTAGTGTTTAATTATTTTTCTATATTGTATAGGTTTGATGGTAAAGTACTTTCAAATATTATTGAAATTCTACAATAAAAGCATATCTAAATATTTTCAGCATATTTTGGTTAATCTCTGTAGAAATATGGATAAGTGCAAAAGTTTTTTTGTGGAAGTATTTAAAAATTTATTTCATACGTGGTTAAGTGAAAAACCTATAGATATTTTTATTCTGGATGAATTTCTTTAGCATGGATACTACGAAATCTGAAAAGGCTCTCGAGGTTGCAGTAAATGTGGAAAGCTAAAAAAATACAATTTACAATTATTTCATTTTAAATATAGATGTTTCTCAAAAACTACTCATTTAAAGAAAAAAAAATTTTTTGAGAAAAAGAACACTGCCAACACAGATTAATTCTATAGGAACAAAATGAAAAATGGTTTATGTAATGAATACATGTACACAAATTTTAAATTAAGAAAAATACTAGTTGTCAATATATATATATATACCTTCAACATAACTGTGAATGAAAGTATCTGTTTTATTACTTAATTTCATTGGATTCCAAAACTAAGTTCAACCTGTTGAGTTTATACAGTATTTACTAATCAATGAAACCAATTATTAGCAGTATTTAACTTTGACATTTACCTGTTATTTTTACATGTATAAGTTACACTACTTATTTTCTCAATTCAAATATAAAAAAAAGGCTTCACTATAGGCATGTGTGCAACACTACTGAACAGTGTTTTTCAAATATGTAAATCTCTACTCAAAATTTACCTTCCTAAAGTTATAACACAGATTCAATTTTATATGAAGCATTTATTTAAACTCTATAAACAACTGAAAAGCAAAGAATACATAAGATACAATGTACTTAATCTGCTCATTAATAAGCCTACTATTCACTATGCTACTTAAACAAAAAAATTATGAAGCCAGCAGAGACTGATAATTTTAAACAGTTATCTGTACATAAATCAATCCCACTTTTTATTAAGACACACTTGAAGAAATGCCTTTTCTTAATTGTTATATACTGCTTAGTAGAATGGAAAACTTCCCCCTGTTACAGATGCTGACTTTCAGAAAATGTCTACATTCCTTATAAGAAATGAAAGTAATTTCTCCTACCATGTTCAATATTTTAAAAATAGTGCATGCACTTCTGCTGCATTTAGCTGAAGTGCAAATTTTTTGTATTTATATAGAGCTCCGACAACTTCATATCTTGATAATAGTACAAAGTTAACCTGGTGGCCATTTTAGCTGTCTCCCACCCACCACATGGATATGAAGATGGTATACAGATTGGCAGCCTTGCTTTCCATTGTTGATCACTGTTTCCAAATAAATAAATATTTTACTATTAGAACATATACTTTACCAACAGTTGACATTCATCTCGTTTACTTCACACCCTTCTTAAAAAACTATAAACTTTCATAAGTTACATTGAATCATGGGAATTTTTTTTTTTCTACAGCAGCATAGTGATTAAACATGAATGAAAAGCAAGAGGTGAATTGAAGGTTATTTCTAAAATACATATATACCCTTCCTAAATATAATAAATGTTAAGTGGTATCACACTACCTAAGAAATGTCAAAACGTAGTTGTTGTACATGCATGTATATGCACGGTATGTTACTAGAAATCACTATAATAACTTATTTCATGTACAGAAAAATTTCCAAAAATAAGTTTTTGTCAAATATCTATTAATTCTTACCAACTCGATATCCTTTATTAAGCTTCTCCTGAAATGCTACCTTCTTTGCAGTTAGAATTAGGTGCCCAAGAAGCTGAAATTGTTACATTGTACATAAGCAAAAAAAGTAGCTTATATTAAACTCCAAAATAACAGTTCAAATTTAAAAGCTTTCCAAATGAAAATTTACAAAAAAAAATTAAATTGTTTATATAAATATCTTCTAAAATATTTGCCACGGTCTGTAATTCAAACATTCAAAACAAATCTATAAGTGAAATACGGAATATGCTATTTAGGGTATTGCTTAGCAAATGGGTTGGAAGTTAAATAAACAAAATATTCATATTGCTAATGCACCGTGTAAGAAAAATGCATAATACCTCATTGTATTACTGTTGTAAACTAATATCAAAACTCTTCTCAAACACATCAGTTATCATAATATTAACACAACAGTCTTCGTGAAGTGTTGAATATATCAATAATAGACAAATATGCAGTGTAGTAGTCAGCTACTAATGTCTTAAACTACAGTACCATCAGATTTCTTACACTTTAAGGGGACTAACAGCACTGTCCAGTTTTAATACTTGTAGTATATAACATGTAAACTGCTAAACATTGTTGCATAATAATTTATTTGTACGATTCAAGATATTAATTTATATAAATATTCCATGTGTTGCAGTTTCCTTAACCACTATTAGCTTTAGGTAAATAGCTACTACATGTCACTATATATTGATTCTGAATCAAAACTTTTGGGGAGAAGTTGCTAGTGGTTTTTTTAAAAAAATTACTTTGTATACTGCTCAACGAACAAATAGGTTATGTTAATTCTTCAAATTATCTTACGTGTTAAACAAGATAACAATGGCATCTTCAGTTGCTTCATCTAGTCTACTACAGTAAGTTACACTACTTATTTTCTCAATTCAAATATAAAAAAGGCTTCACTATAGGCACGTGTGTAACACTACTGAACAGTATCTTTCAACTATGTAAATCTCTACTCGATGTCTTCCTGACAATATGAGCCAATTATGGCTCAATGGCTAGTATGTCTGACTATGGATTTGATGTTTTACAAAAAATAAACTATTTTGCTTCTCACTTTGCATTCATGGGCTCTTGCATGTCTTATAAAAGTGACAATTTTCCCATTATTTGGTTTGAGAAGAGTAACCGAAGGGCTAGCAGTAGGTGGTGTTGACTTGCTGCTTTCCCTCTAATCTATCAATTCATAATTAGGAGCAACTAGTGCAGATAGCCTTTGTGCAGCTTTGCTAGAAAGCAACACACAAATTTCTAACTATATGAAAATGTTGCCCAAGCTCCACTGTTCCTAAGAATAATTTTTTTGGTAATAAAACAAAGCCAGTAAAAGAAATGCAACTAAAACTGGTGCATTTTCTAGTAATAATTTAAGCTGACTGAACAAGTAATCAAATAAATAATTCAAAACCACTGTACCTAAAATATATTTAAATTAACTGCATAAAGTTAACAATGATAATAGATGTAATAGTGGAATTAAAATCAATATCTTAAACTGTAATATATAATTTGTACAGTTTACCAGAAAAGAAAAAGCTGACAGATGCTAAATATTTTTTGATTTGTTTTTATCAACTGGTGTGTTAAACCTTAGTCTTCCTATTAGGCCAACTTGAAACAAAACATCTCATTCGTACTAAGTTTATGGTACATTTTAAAAACCTTTTTAAACATGCCCGACTCATCTAAAGATGAAAATGTCTTTAAAGTAAATACTGAAATAAGAAATTTTTAAACCTAAAAACCTATTAGTGACCTACATTCAACAGCCTAATGTAGCATCAATATAACATATGATTTCTAGACCTAACAGCTGTCTTTCTAAACTAAAGTACATCCGATTTAATTATGATTTTTTTTTCTTGTGGAATTTAGATACGGTCTGTAAAAGTGTGCTTACCCTAATTGCTTGTGAAAACTTAAGTAAGAACTTTAAACTTCAATTTACGTGCACACCCAACAAAGGTTTGAAAAATGTACAAAATGAATAATAGTAATGAAATGCATCAATCCACATACAGTGAATGATTACTATCAGAAAGAAGTTAAATTTAACCAACCCATAAGTGACTAGTTTCTAAAAAGAATTCTCTTAAGTGTCTTCAATTATACCTTTACCAAAAATATACAAACTTCTCTGTGAAGAGAAGATACTAATAATGTAATTAAATTTGATATAATCTCATTACATATATATGCCAAGCCAGCTTTAGAAAAAGTAAAATTTTGATTAACAATTCATTGTGTTTGATGATGATTTGGATATGACTGAATATAAAATATCTGAAGATGAAAACAATTACCTTACAATCTTCCTCTTCAGCTTCATCTAACATTGAAATTGGTTTTCTGGGAACAACCAAAAAATGACAAGGAGCCTGAGGGCTGACATCACGGAATGCAATACACTAAAAATAAGGTCAAGCATGATAACATTTAACAATTTATATTAACAAATGGTTCTTACTGGAATACAGTGAAAGATATTAAAACAAGACTTACAGCTGTATAGGATGTAAAAAATAAAAAGTATGCCAATATATAAAACAGAGCAGCAGTAACTTCCATTTGTTTTGTACTGTAAAAAATTTTATATACAAAGAAAAAGTGTCTTATAATTTGGTTATGTAGTTTGACATAACTATTTATGAAGTAAAGAAAAAGTTAACTTAATAGTTGAATTTATTCTTAAAGAAAATGTCAGTGTCTTCACACAAGTCTCTCAGACACTGAGCACACAGGTTATGTGTAAATATCCTATGATAAGCCTGCTATATTTTATAGTATATATTCTACTATCTTGACTAATATTAAACACGGTTCTCCAGAGGCTTTCAACATGGGGGGGGGGGGATACCGTCGGGTGTCAAATTCTGAGAGTAAAGTTCTAAATGGCATTAAATAAGTGTGTGTGTGTGATAATTATTTAATATATACTACAAGTACGAGTTGGCATCCTTCAGTCTAACAAGCAGGCTGATTACCAGTTACCTTTTGTTTTCAACAATGCAACAACAGTTCATAATCAATTAACCTCCTTACAAGCTATTTTTGATAATCCAATTAAAGTCATGATTCTTTTGATTCCAAAATACGTAGGTCTGAAGGCTGGACTAATCAAACGTGACCAATTAACTTCTTGACAGTACACCAATACATATGTAAGTTACTTTTCTGATAGCACTCTGTCAATTCATAGATATTTACATGACTGAAGTCTTTACACAGAAGGGAATACATGTGGCATTCCCGAGTTATTTAATAAATTACTGTTTCTATTACTTTCTTCACATGTGTGAACCAACATTTCTGTGCATGAACTCTAAAATCTGTGAGTGGAAATACTCGGGGTTCCGTACTATCTAGAACCTTGATTAGACAGTAACACACAACCAATACACTAGATTAATACACCAAAGGTAGATTTGACTAGAAACAGTTAAGCACACTTAATGAATACAAATAATAGGAGCTTTTCACTTGCATATAAAAATTTTAAAAAAACTTAATTGGTATTGCTGGAATTCATAAAAACTAACAGAGGTTTAGTAAACAAATTCTAAAATGTATTTGAAGTGCCTGGTAATTTTATTATATAGCATCCTTGATTCCCAAATTTGCAATTGTATGCATTAGGAGAAATAGGAGAGGAAAATATACTTTTGAATAAAGTAAAAAGAAAGTAACAACATATGATTATTAAGCTTAATATCCACGAGAAAAATTATACATGACTGCAAATTTTCTAGCACACTTTTATTGATTACTTTACTGAAGATCTTCAATTCCATATGTGAATGTCGAAAAGATGTCGGCAATCTATCATGATTTTTTATGACCAATATTAGGCACACTGATTCATGCTTTTGATAGAAATGAATAAATACCCTATAACCCGAGCACTTTCAAAAGGTGGTCCTTTCTTCTTCAGGGGCAAACCATTCCCAGTTTGCCCCTGAAGAAGAAAGGACCACCTTTTGAAAGTGCTCGGAGTATAGCATTTTTATTCATTTCTATCAAGACTTCTTGAACCTACGTGTTTTTCTAACATCATGAGTAATTCATGCTTTGATACCTTCTTCCACTGATAACCATGAGATAAGCTTGCTAGGTTCATATCTGTAAAGGGTGGCTCATCATTCGGTGAAGTAAATAGATATTTCAAAGAAAAGCCAGGAACTAATGAAATTTGAGACCGTGACTCTGCTTGCCAGATAGATGCTTCATTAGACCACCAGATGTCAGGAGTTACATTTTGTATTTAACTGGATTCTTATGTCATGCCAATAAAATTGTACAGCTTAGGATCATTTTTATTGCGATTTTGTAGTAGAGAATACTGATTTTTATTTGTTTGAAACAGATATTTTAAAAGTATAAGTTAATGTACAAAAAAAACTTGAGGGAGACATATTAAAATTTAAGCCACATGACTGAAAATTTCAACCTCAGCTCATTTAAAAAGTAGATTCACTGCTATGAGCTAAAGAACCAAAAAGCTCTGGTTAAAAGCAGTACAAGAAAATTTGGTGCTACAAAAGCATACAGTCTACACAGATACTATCATCATCACCATTTTAGTATTACAAATAATGGTTTTAAATAATAAAGTATAAACTACCATTACATAACAATTTTGGGGCAAATATAATCGGAATGAAATAAATTCCAACAATCTAAACTAACACAATTATTACCTAAATTGACGATATTCTTTTGGAACACCCAATATATTAAATTATTATCTGCTGAACAAAAACATGGATAGATATAAATCATTTAGCAAGAAATCATATTTTTAGTGAATCATTAAAATGGTGATGATGATGATAGTATCTGTGTATACTGCACACTATAGCATAAATATCTTTGTAAACCGCACGCTATAGTAGCACCAAAATTTTTCAGAAAGTACTACACAAGTTTATGTGTAAATTCCATCTTTTACCAATTTTTATAAAGTAATTACTATAATAATTTCAGTAATAGTTCACATATACAAAATGCTAAGTAGTTTCCAATCTCAAAAACAAATTGGAAAACACTAAAAACTGAATTATTAATTCCAACAAGAGTTTAAACCTTTATATATATAAGCAGTTATGAATTTTTATCACGAAATTACATTTAACAAGCATGATTACAATTTTTCTAATACTGAGCAGGCATGCAAAAATAAACTGTATTTACAAAAATGAGTCATAGAACCAAAAAATATTATTTCACAGTAAAACTTACATGATCATCTTCATACAGAATATCAGCGGGAATCTCCTTTTCTATTATCTTGGAAAAAATGGTCGGCTTGCCGATTTCCACCTTTGTCTTTTGGGCCTTTTGGACTTCATCCATTTCTGTTTTTCTACTAAAAAGGCATGACTGGGTCTAAAAACACATGAAATCATTACTTGCTTTTTCACGTACATTTGATAAATAACTTTGTCATTTTAATTGCAGAAACTAATTTTGAAGTATATATTTTTGTGACCAATATTCAGTATGTGAAGGACAATTGTATGCTTCTAAGTGATATTATCCAAGAACGTAATTTTTAACCACTTAAAGTGTATTTTTATGTCTTAGTGCATTCGTATTGCATTGTAATTATACTGTTCAGTTTCTTGCTTTTATATACTTATATATACACACACATGCAAATAAACACAAGAAAAGTTCAACACTATCTATTCTACAATGCTCAAAAGATTCTAATTATTTTCAGGATACAAATGTTATCTGTATGTTTGAATAAATGAAAGTAACATTTCATACAAAACTTGTTTTTAGAACAAGTAGTGGATGAAATTATAATGAACCAAAGATATATACCAACATCATAAAAACCTCAAAAATCCAAACTTCAAACAAGAAAAGACTAGAATCCAGTGGTGCAAAATTTGAAGTTAGTCAATGTCATGGAAATCCAATGGAAATAAGGTGTGGATATAATCTTAAACACTCTTTTTCAATCATCTTCAAATAACTAAATTATATAGGAAGGGAAGAATAATGATATACTAAACATGGTTGAGATCACCATGAAAAATTTATTATATACAAGTATGGTAGTTTGAGTGCAAAAGACACAGTACTTAGCTGATGATAGTTATTGGGTAAAACCTTAAGCTCTGTTTATAGAGCACTCATTTGGAGTGCAATATCAAGGAAGAAATAAAAAGTATGATTATCAGTGATGCAATGGTTAGAAAAGTATATAAAATTGATAAGTCAGACAGAGGCAAAGCCTGTCAGAGTAATATACACAGGAGTTGTGAAACATTTATGAAATAATTAGTTTTAATATAGATATTTGCAAATGGAAAATTCTCAGTAAAAAAAAAGGGGTGCGGCCTACACAGATCTTCACACTATAGCGTGTGGTCTAAACAGATACTATCATCATCACTATCTTAATGATTTACTAAAACATAATTTCTTGCTAAATGATTTATATCTATCCATGTTTCTGTTCAGCAAATAATATTCAATTTAATAAGTTGTGTGTTCCAAAAGAGTACCTTAAATATAGGTTATAATTGTTGGAACTTATTTCATTCCGATTATGTAATGCTATTTTGTGCTTTATTAGTTTAAAAGCATTATTTATAATAACTGGTGCCAATTGCAAATAAACAAAAGTTAAAATGGTGATGATGATAGTATCTGTGTAGACCACATGCTATAGTGTAAATATCTTTGTAAACTGCACACTGTAGCAGCACCAAAAAAGGTGTAATCAAGAACTCATCTTAACAGTCATTACTCTAGTGAGGCAAACATACCCATGTAGTACTTGTTTGAAAAAAAAAAAGTGGGGGGGGGGGAGGCAGCTCCATAAAAGGAAGTGGATAGAGATGCTAAACATACATATATATATTTTTGGCCTAATGTTGTGTTATTAATTCTTACCCTAAGACTTTTGTAAACGATTTATATAAAATAACAATCACAGTTCATTTGATCAATTTGGTTACTGCATAAATCTGGATTTAATACTTGTTTAATGACATGCTTAATGAATTTTTTAATGTTATTGACTCCATATTACTTAGAACCTAGTACTAGGACAATGGTTTGTTGTGCAATGATTTTGTTTTTTATAATTCACCACACTTCGTTTTCTTCATTGTAGTTAATTATCTTATTGACAAGTCATGTTATTAATGATATATTGCTGATTATATATTAACTAAATAAAAGTCAATAATGCTGTACTTAAAAGTTCATAAAATTACAGATTTATTATACTTTAAAGTAACACACTTATTATGAAATCAAAGGATTTATATGGCCCTATTTTTTTATTTTTTTTGTAACTTAACTAACTCTCAAATATGAAAAAAATTTCAAGAAACACTACTACTACCAGTACTACTGGTAGAAGTTTCTTAGAAGTTAGATTGTTATTCGTATATTTTGTTCCTTTTTAGCTGCGAAATCTAGCAAAAACAAGCTTATGTTTATAATTGAAGCGTTGTATGATAGTGTATGTTACTGTACAGCTAAGTAATATATTTATGTCCAAAAAATAAAGCAATATTTTCAAAACGAAAGAAATCGTACGACTCCTATGCCTTCGGTTCAGTGAACAAACTGCCGGCAATGCAGTATGGGCTAGTTTCACTTGCTTCTGTAAAGCTGAAAAAGAACCAGGGTGCTTCCAGTTTATCCTTACTCTTAGTCTTACAATGTTATTGTTACACTTACAGTTACGCCCAAGTCGTTGCTTATGCACTTTTTCAGTATTTTATCCAGCACATTGTAATTTGTACTCTAAAACTTAAACCACATAAGACTAAAAATAAAATTCAAAGGTTCGACCAACAACTGTTCATTAAAAACCGAATATTTTCTAACATGAAACAAAGTTATACTTTAGAAAAAAGAAAAACCAACACTTACCGTACCTTTAACACTCGAGAAAATCTAATATTACTAGGTTTCGTACTAAATACGGATCTAAGTGGAATGATATATACCTGGTGCACAAATCTACTGCAAGACATTTTAATAACGGGAGTAAAATATATGGAAGATAAAATGGGTCAACCAAATAATATTTGAGGTCGATTTAAGAAAAAACGCTCATATTATTATACAGCAATCAATTGCCAACAGTATACATGATTCCAAGATTTCTCCCAGCATATGCTGAATAACTACCGTGTATATGAGAAGTATAAGATCTATTTCTAAGAGTTTAAAAACGTGGTATGTTTAAGGTACGTGATAATTAGACGAAAACATTTAATGGAAAATATATGTGATATTTGTTTTTGACAACTAGCATTGCAGAATAGCAAAAGATAAAATCATTAGAATTCCACAAAGGAAAGAAAAAATTACAAAACAAAACAATTTAAGTAGGGTTTTAAATTATATTTTTTAATATTTTACATGTAGGTTTTGATGTAAAATCCTTTACTCACTTCAAATAACTTACAATACTTTAGGTATTGGAAAAATATGTGACTATAACGTCACAATTAATTATTATACAGCAAACTAACTCCATGGATTATTTCTTCTTTTTACTGAAGTTATGTGTTATGGTGAAAAAATAAAATACAAATACATGAAGGGCATTTTTACTTCTTCCAGTCTGTAAACCATTAGTGTTCCGTTCTTTTATTCGCTTCCTGCAGAATTTGTGAAAAAGAGAATTACTGAATTAGAACAACAGTTTTTTACTAAATATAAAACATGATAATACGTTCATCAAAAAATTTGACTACTACATTGTTTTTCACAGTAAAATGTTTCAAAATTCAAATCATACAGACTTCGCCAGAGTGAGCTTTGAATATCTATCTGGATAACACGTGAGATGCACCTTGATCGGGCTGAATTTCGCATATTCTGTTCAGCAGTGCAAGTGCTATACAAATATGCAATATAGTAATGGAACTGTATTAAAATCCATTTTATGGTCTAAAATTCTCATTACTTATGCAAATACTGAAGTAATAGTAATTTGTGTCCATAAACATATCCAGGAAATTTTTAAGCATTTTGGACCCTAACTTGGTATTTAGTATTTCAAACACTATAATATTTATATGTTGGAAGAACTGAACTCTTTTTCCTGTTACAAGTAATATGTTTTAGACTTAGTTGGCCTTCTGGTTAGGACATTTTACTCACAATCTGCAAATCGAAGTTCGAATTCCCGTCACCGAACATGCTCTTCTTTCAGCCGTGGGGGTGTTATAATAGGACAGTCAGTTTCACTATTCATTGGTAAAAGAATAGCCCAGAAGTTGGCGGTGGGTGACATTGACTAACCGCCTTCTTTTTAATATATCACTGCTAAATTAGAGACGGCTAGTGCAGTTAGCGTTTGGATAACTTTACGTAAAATTCGAAATAAACCAAAATACAAATTAAATTATCCCTGCAGGAAGAAGACGTCATCTAGCAAATAAACAAAGGGCGAAGGTGACTAGAAGAAGATAATGTTACCCACTTTGGACCACGTGTTCTGTCATAACAGTGTGTAACTGTTCAACAGTTTAGAAAAAGAATTATATTGTTAGAGAGGCTAAGAGAACAGGGTATGTTTGCATACCACAAATATTCAGCTTCCATAAATTCAATTATATATTTTTATAAACATTCAATGGATTTTGCGTTTTTACGATATTTTAAAGAGCATTAGAAATATTTTAGAATCCATAACGTGCTCTTCCAGTATCATTATAATTGTTAAAAATCATGATATTGATATTTTAATCCACATCCACAATATTTTTCTTTCGTATGTTTATAATAAATAATGTTTTCATTTATAGAATTTTAATTTAGTTTTTTAGATTGATGTAAGATATGGTATATTTACCTAAATTAGTTTGGTACTTTTTATAGATTTTTTTATATTTGAACGTTTTATAACATTTAACTTTGAGGCACAGTGTATATATCTCTAATAGTAAAAAGCTTGTCTGAGACCTTTTCTCTTAGTGTCGCCCTCTAATGGGATAAATTACAACTTCTACCCAATTTTTTTAATATTTGAAATAATTTAAAATTACCAATTCTAAACCTGTATGTTATACAATGCTCTATCTGAAGCAAGCTCTGTTCATACGTAATTTATTCAAGCTCTAAGGTCAAAGATATGTGCAATCAATTTTGTCTATCACTGAGATAAATTGGATACGTATGTATGTATATATATATATATATATATATCACAGCTACATAATTAGTTCGAAAGTCTATATTATGTAGCAAGTAAATTATATTTATAATTCTTTTTACTTCAGGTATAAAAATATTCTAAATTCCATACTTTTTATTTATTATTTGCAGCAGCAAGTGGTTCAAAACAAAGTAACATAACAGATCTAATGTTTACAACTCGAGATTAAATATGCCGATGCATACAAATGTAGGTAGGACGCATACTCAATTAAATAAAACAGTAAATACTAGCCTAACAAATCTCAATCATTTAGCTGGTGAAGTCACAGCTGAAGCTTATCTCCGGTTAAATCTTTGTAATATGAAACTGACTGAGACTACAAAAACGAAATTTGGTATAATTACGTATTTTCATAAAATAATAAAAAATTCAACTCAATATGCATCTCATTTTGATTATAAAACAAAGTTACTGAATGAACACACATAAAGTTAATATTCTACAAAGCTGTAAACATAATATGTTTAATGTCTGATTTTATATTATCTAGTTTTATTCAGCTAGAACTTTAATTTAGGAATCATTAGTAAGAAAAGGAAAACAGCGACCCCTATAGCATTGATGCACTGAACAATTTAAACACTTATCAAGTCTAGTCTAGCTTATGAACTTATCTGATTATTTGTGGAGAATATTTGCAAACTTTATAAGAGTCTGAGTGTTTTGGAGATTAAAAGAAAGTAAACATTTAATGTAATTTAGTGTAAATGCTAACATGTTACATCATCCTTATCATGAATATAATTTTACGAAATATTACTTAAATGTGATTTTTTCATGTTTTTTAAATGCTTCACAAAGGTTATCAAACAAGGAAATTGGAAAAGAAAAGTAATTTGTTTTACTAACCTACTGGTTTCAATAGTTAACATTCGAATATAGACTAATAATTTTACATTTTAGCCTCGTTTTCTCACGTAGATATGATTCGTTGTAAAAATTCCTTATAATATCAGTTACATATTAAAATATGTTAATATCAACAACAATTGCTCAAAATTTATATTCCTAAAATAATCTTACAATTTCTAGCACCTGCAAATGTTTGGTGGCAGTAAAGAAAATTCTTTGAACGTATTCCAAGACGTTTAACAAAATATAATTGAAATCTGTCTTTTGCTTCTAAATCTTTGATTTCAGATTGCTAAGCCTTATTATATTATCGGTGTACTATATGTCAAATTTCTTTGTAATTTACAGAACTCTTTTTTTTCCATTATAGATTGTAAATTACAGGGTTTTTTCTTTATTAAAGATTGTTATTTTACTTTATATTACTTTTCTCAATTATATATTATAAGTTACAGTACTCATTTCCTTACAAATTATATTTCATAGAACTCTTTTGGTAAATTGGTTTGGTTTGTCTTAAATTTTGCGCAAACGTCCTCGGGGGTATTTGCGATAGCCGTCTCTAATTACCAGCGATAGACTGGAGGGAAGCCTGCTAATCAAAACACCATCCACCGCTAATTTTCTTAAAGACTAATAATGGGATTGGCCATCCATTATAATGCCTCAAGGCTGAAAGGGCGACCATGTTCGGTGGCAGGGTTTCGAACCCACAACTCTCAGATTGCGAGTCGAGAATCCTAACGACCAGACCATGTCAAGCTTTCTTTTGATTAAAAAAACCAAGGGGGCGTCCATAATTTCATCATTTTCACAAGCGTATACTTTTTCAGATCCCCACTCATTCCCCAAAAAGTATACAAGTCAACATTTTCGAGGGTTTAGCCAAAGGTCAGTCTTCAAACGTCAAAAAGTAAAAGGACATTTCATAGGTTTCTACGGTTTATATACAACTTTTGTAATACTACTGGCATTAAATAGTATACACAAAGCACACAATCATTTCAAAGATAAAAAACAACATAGGATTACACCTGTAGTATAATTTCAGCACATCACTTTAATTTACAACAATACAATAACATCAAAGTATCAAGACAAATAACACCACACTACATACCGCAATTGATTTTATATACTGTTCCAAGTGTAGGGCAAACATATAAAAAAAATAACGGTCAGCCAAAACAAAAGAAAGATTTTCATACTTAACATGAAAATTTTATCTGTTAGTGTGCCAATTATTAATAAACCATTTTTTTTTTCGGTTTGTCTTTTGCCGGTTTGTGTGTCATGTAACACTTTGGTGCCTGGTTTTGTTAGTGAAGTCTATGCTCGTCTGCTTTTATAATAAAATCTAAAATTCAGTGGAACAGATGAAAAATATCAAAGGTCAAATATATTGAAATTTATTTCACCTGAAAGTGTACCGACAGCCTTGACCCTCACCCCACCCAGTGTATGTTTTGTACACTTTTGAAAACGATAACAATTACGGACTCTGTACATTATTATACTTTTTCACGAACTATCACGCAAGAAAAGGTATAATAATGTACAGATAACGTTCGGTTTTGTGGTTATTAAAATTATACTAACACGAACTATCACGCAAGTTTGTACAATTTTAATAACCACAAAACCGAACGTTATCTGTACATTATTGTACCTTTTCACGAACTATCACGCAAGTTAATATAATTTTAATAACCACAAAACCGAACGTTATCTGTACATTATTGTACCTTTTCACGAACTATCACGCAAGTTAGTATAATTTTCTATGTTGTATAGAATATAACACAGAAGACAAAACTATCAACTAAACTCTGGCGGGGATAGGATAATGATAAGAATGGACACTGAATATCTAGATCGTGTGCTGAACTAATCGCCATTGAGTCAAAATCAACATATCTGTTTTTGTTTTACTTATTTAATGTCTTGTTTTAAAACGGCTTTTTAACTTTGTTAAACTTCAATTCATATATATATATCTAAAATGTAGGATTAAACTTTGTTTAATTGTATGATTACTCGACAGATGTCAATGTTAATAACTACTTCTGTGTTACAATTGTCTGGAAACCTTATAATTATTTACTTGTT